TGCCACGCTGGGGGTGCCGGGAAGTAAAAGGGGTCACGAGGAGGTAAAAGGCTGCACCTCTGGTGAGTAACAGGCAGGAGGGGTGACCAACAAGAGTATTTCCTTCCATATATGTCATATTCAGCATAAAGGTGAGGGATCGTGGGGTTAAGCTCGTCTCTAAGGGCCTGTGTCCAAGGAGGACTGTGTTGATTCTTCTACTCCCAGTCTTCTGCTCCCACATCCGAGTTCCCTAAAATCCAACTCCTTTGTCTGGTTCCCCTCTGCTGCTGAGCCTGGGGCTTTCCCAGTGTCACCTGCTCTGCAGCATCAGTGGTGATTGCTTTCAGGGGCGGAGTCAGGTTCAATGTCAGTTTTGTCTATATTTTGTATATATTTAATTAATAGTATAATTTCATTAAAACTGCTTGAGTTTTCTTTTCCAATCTGTAAGTCTCTCAGCCTTATTCTCTTTTTCCTTCCCTTTTGGGCAGAGAGAGGGGTTTTACATAGCATCTATCATTTTTTTAGTGGCTGGCCTGGCCCTACTTGTTGAGATATATGTAAAATTCACACCATCTGGAAACACTTTGTAAGGAGGAAAGGTACCTTTTCATTCCAGTGATGTTCCAAAACACCCAGTCTGTGTTTCTTTCTGTTTCCATCCTGTTTTCATAATCTTCTGGTTAGAGCGAGCCATGGTATGAGTGGATGGGAGTTCTTCCACAGTTTCTTTCCTCCAGATTGAGAAAGATTCACTCAGACCTAATTCATCCTAAAAGACTGGTCTGCTTTATTTTTCTTTTGGGGCTTGTAAGTTAGTTCAATATTTATGACTTGGGAGTTGCCCACCTTTTTTTTTGATCTATAGATTTCAGTCTTCTCTTGGACTTTCTACATGAAGTCTTGCACTACTAAAAGGGAAAGAACATGGGCTTATCTTGCCCCTGACTCCTCAAAAGAGTTGGGCATAGATATTGGGTAAGAATCCAAGCATCGTTCATGCCTAAACTCTGCAATTCAGATAATTTTTCCCTGCAGGAAAGTGTTAGATTGGAGGATCTGGTTCTTTTTTTCACCTTAAAAATAAAATGTTTCCTCCTGTATTTTCGCAACCCATGGAGAAGGTGGGTGGAACACGCAGGTGACTTGTTTTGATATTATGTCCTTCATAAATAGTGGTGAACTGGTGATCAGTAATAAAGAGAAAGAGATCTCTTGAAAAATTGCTAAAAATCTATTTTAAAGATCGACTTTATTTGGAGAGTCAGGAAAAACTTTGACTAGTGTAGGAGGTAGAGGGTGCTTTTTGAGATATTTTAGGTCTCACTGTAATTTCTTAAATATAGCTAAGTTTTATTTTCTGTTGTGGTTTATTTGGTTCAGCTGAATACTGCTGTCATAAATTTATTTATTATTATTTAGCTAAATGAATGAGCTTGTAGACAATGGCTTTAATTTCCAAAACAAAATGAATGGGAGATGGACAAAGGTTGGAAAACACCAATTAAGTTTATCAAAATCATTGATGCCTATTTAGGAGGATGTAAATTCTGATTTTAAAAAAGCATTCAGATTCTTATATTTGCCTTTGTAGTGCTTCCTTACAGTCACGTCAGTCTGAGAAGGCTCCTGTTATGTTGTTTGTCACCCTCCTCCAGTCTGAAAATCTCTAAGACTACGGAATATTTTTCTTCTCTCTTCAGTATGTTTTATGTCTTTGTTTTTTAATGAATTAGGGAGTTAAAATTACCAAAATACTGATACGTCAGTTTTCCCATTGAAAACTGCCTTTGATTTTTTTAAACTTTTGGACGTATAATTTCACAGATTGGAAAATATTTGTTACAGATTACAGACAGGATTTGTTTGATTCTACTATTTAGTGAGTATTTGTATGAAGGGATTATTGAGCTGATGACACTAGGAAGCGTATGCTCTAATTAAACCAATTGATTTAGCATTAAAATATATAAGTGGTAGGAAAGCATGGTGGTGCAGATCTGCTGGTTTTTTTCATAATAAAGTTACATTTTATACAATAAAGAATTTTATACAATAAAGAATATATAAGGCCTAGTATGAGTGTTACAAAAGAAGATGTATGAGGTTTACCTGAACGCATTATTTTTAGGGCAAAGTGATATTATTCACATAAAGAAAAGTATTTTTTAATGTCGGAAGGAACTCGGAGTCGTTGCAAGACATTTGATTAGTATTCATGGCATAAAAGGAAGTTATTTTCAGGGTAAAGGAATTTGTGAAAAGATAATTGGTTAGACCAGCATTCTCATTAACCTAATTTGTATTAAATGTGCTACTCTGAATTGTAGTTACTGCTTTTCCATTTGAAATGCATGTTTTGTTTGCTTATTTAAAGAGCCTAGTTAAACTACAGTTTAAGTCATACCCTTTAATTCAGCAACACAATATCAAACTGAGGATCTGGTCTTCCCAACTTTGTGAGTATAACGAATCACCAACCAATTCTTGAACCCAGTGGACTTTCCTGATGGAGAAGGTTTGTTTAGCTGCTTTACATCGGATCATTCTCAGGTGCTGAAAGTGTTTGACTAATCCTTTAGTTTAATTTTACTCCTTTATAAGAGCATAGTTAGTTTAATTTTACTCCTCCGTTACACAGCATGAGAAATAACTGCAGGAGTCTTGGGGATATTGGAAGAAAATGCTTATGCCTTTGTTCTAATAGTATGAAGACTTTGAGGATTGCTTGGTTTAATTATTTTTCAATAAAACTTCTTTCCATATGTAACTAAATGGAGTCTTTAAAATATGAGCTGTTAAATTATTTTACACATTTTTGTATCCATTTTAAAATCATGAGACTGAGGAATGAAATTGGATTTCTTCACTTTTCAGCATTAGTTATTACTTACTAGCAGTCTTGTAGATATTTTGAAGCAGAGGGATTTATTTACTGTTGTACTGTGTGTGATGCAGACAAAGGCACCTTTGTCAGCAGTCAGGTGGAGCACTCAGGTATCTCCAGACATATATAAAGACAGTATCTTATTTTTCCATGCTGCTGAGCATACCCATTTATGAACTAATTTATGAACTAAACATTTATAAAATTAGACTTCTCCTTAGATATTTAAAGGTTAATGTCAATTATTTGCACTTGTATTGTTTAATACAGTTTGTCTTTAAAATAGTAATATCTGGAGGCATTGATTTTAAACCAAAGTCCAGCTGATCAGGCAAGCTTGTATGTCGGCCCAGCCAAGTTGGGTAAACTTAATGAAAACACAGAGACGCAGATTCAAGCTGGACGTGGTAATGGTTGTAAATATCCACGGACATAGACATACTCAGCTGAGAGGGTCACTTCTTGCTGGAATGGTTCTGAAGATGGCGGTGATGGCCTTTCTGGGTTGCTCGATGTGGCTGGTGCATGAGTGCAGTGCATACCCAGTGAGCATACCTGAAATGCAATGAATTAGAAATGCACTTCAGATATATGTATTAAAAAAAAGAGAAAAAGCTATAGCCAATAAAATGTACATTCCAGCTGGGAGATAATTAGGTCTCTTGTTTTTTATTGTTTGGCAAAGAAATGTGCCAATTACTGTGCCATTTTGCTGCTTACTCATTCTGTTTGCAAACCAGGAGCTGGCTGATGGTTGCGCAGTTGAGTAAAATCCTGAAAGGCTGAACTCCTTGTGTTTTGGGATGGGCAGACAGTGGAAAAGATGACAGTTTTGGGGACAGCATATTTTATTATGTTCCAATTTTGCATGCAGGATTCAGAAATGGCAGTTAAGATATTGAAAGCCAGGGGTGAACTTGCTGCCCGGTGGTCAGCAGTGCCATCGAAAACTTCCTCTGGCACCTTCATTCGCTGTTAGAGACTGGGAAAGAAGGAGCTGTTGCTTCTCAACTAACAGCCGGGCTAAGTCCTAGTGACTCACGGTGATCTGCAGTTCTCGAGGTCAAATTTAGTCTCCTTCATTCAATAATTCAACAGTTGGGTGGTTGTCTGTCCTTGGGTTTTGGGTTTTTGTTTTGTTTTGCTTTTTTCCTCCCCTCTCCTCTCTGACTGGTGGAGCTCCTGGCGCAGCTTTTACTTCTCAGACTGCATGGTCTGAGGCAGCCGATGTCCCACACTGTGGGGTCTTTGCTTTCTGTTACTCGGGACCTTTAGCCGCTATCTTGCAACTCTAATTTTTCATGTTTCCTTTGCCACACACCTTATTAATATTTTTTGGGTACCTGGAATTGTGTGGATTTTTTCAGAGAATAAATTTATAGCGATATATTTCGCAACGCAGCACGGCACCGCAATAGAAATATCACATCTAAAACAAAGTAATAAGCCAAGCCCCCTTTAGTAAGAAGGAGTTCCTACTGACTTGGAGGAGTGTGTTAGGAAGTTAGAAGATCCTGTAATTAAGATTTCATATGTAGCTTAATTTAAGGTTTCTTTAAATTCAGTCCTTTATGCATATGGATTGGAGGTTGGGGTTCAGTGCCTTTTTTGATGACATGCTGGAGTCTGGAAGAAAGAGTCTGGAGAATTTAGCTACCAGACAACAAGAAGTCTTTATTTGGCCTGTGCAAACAGATTTTTAGGACATTTATAATCCATTTTAAGAGAGCTGCATGTCGATAAGACAAGGTCAATCTATAGCACATTTGAAATTGTTAATAAAAAATGCACTCTGTGGATACCGTATGTATTCCTAGTATGTTGTCCAAATTTTTCAGTGAAAACCTTGCTTGTTGACATGGCACCTAGCACCTGCTCATTCACTTTTAAATTTATTGAGGTTTTTTCGGTAATGTTTTGCAAATAAGAGATGAAGAGATCTTTGAATAGAATTTTGGCTTCAAGAAGTTTAATATTGTGAATGCAAGCAGTGTTAAAATTAAATGCAGATTTGTTGGAGATGTTACATTTATTGATTGAATTTATTGATGTAGGGTTGGGAACTTTGGAGAGCGCTTTTTTTTTTTTAAAAAAGTAAATATATATATTTTTGTTTATTTCTTATCTGCAGGAGATTCATTTTCACAGTTCCGGTTTGCTGATGAGAAAGAATGGGAAAGAGAAAGCATATGCAATAAGCAGGTAACAGAATTGTCACTCGGATGATTTTGTATGGGTAATTGCCAGGCACTGAGCAGTTGTGCTTTCAGCAATAAATTGTTTAATATTCTATATATTTTTATTAATTTGTCTCTGATGCTTAGAAACTCTTGGATTTTTCTTTTAAATTTTTTTTTCCCTGTTGAAGACTAATCAAAGCTTCAGGCTACGTTTTTAAGTAACGTTGGAAGAAAAGAACAAGCAAATCCAACTAGCGAAGGAAATGTTAAGGGGCTGTCATTTTGCTTTACTGACATATCAAGTCAGCCCTCCTTTTTCAGCTGTATTCAAGATAAAAATTAGTAAAATGACAATAACAAAACCTGTATGAGTATTTTCATGTATTTGACTATGAAAGCTTGTTCTTGTTCTTTCAAATTCACAGTTCATATCCTCTGGCTGAAACCTCACTTCCAAAATTACTACAAGATCAATTAGATTTTATATTATATTTCTATGAGGATTATTTATGCTGGAATAAAAAGGGACAAAGCAATAGGAGTCTGCTGTTTTCTGTACTGGAAATTGTCTTAGTCTCTGCAGCTGTCTTCCTTACGTTGTCACCTAAATTATCGCAAGATAAATGCTTTTGTCTTCCAAGCTTTTCTTAAAATTGCTGCAAAACTGTGCTTGAGTGTTTCTTGAAACATACAGATGTATTCAGAGGTTGCTGTTTATTCCTAAAATAGCAACAACAATTATTCCCTGGGAAGCAGTATTTCAAGGTACCTTAAAGTTGCAAAGTCAAAATAAAATGAGGAAATAAAACCAAGTACAGCAGTGTTTAAACATGCTTGTTCAGTGGGATACAGTCTTTCAAGGATTGTGTATTTTTTTCCTTTTGCTCCTAGTGTGCAGGATGTCAGTGTCCAGAACGTTAATTTTTTCACATTCTTTTGCCTCTGTCCCTGTGACACTGTGTCACTCATTCTGCACCAGCCAAATTTGTCGTTTCAAACTCTTTCCCATCTTACACTGTTCCTGTGTCAATTTGAAATACTTCACTGCACTCATCACCATTGCTCTTCCTTTGATTTCTTATTTTAGTCCAGAATCCAGGCCCAGAGGGTTTCCGAGCATTATCTATTTTTTCACATTGTCTCTGGTCTTTGGCCTGTTACCTCCTCCTTGCTTATGGCCTGTCTGTCTTCTCCCTGAAAGCTGGATCCAGGTTGAATTTTCCTCCTCGATCCAGCTTGGCAAAATCCTTGCCTTTGCCTCTTAGCTCACCCATCCCTCATTCTTTGCCTGTCTGTACATTATGTACAGGATTAGAGAACTCTAAAGTGAAGTGATTATGATGGAACCAAATAAAGCAGAAGAGACAAAAATAGTTGCAGAATGACTAGATACTTTCCATTCCCTATTATTTGTAGAAAGAAATGGCAAAACATCAGTTTCAGATGTGGAATGGAAATGTAACAGTGGCATCAACAATAATGAATTTTCAGTTTACTAAGAATATTATAATTCATTGTTACAAAAAGTAGATCCGGATTCCTTTTACTGTACGTTGATAAAATGCAGTAAAAGTGTTTCAGAACATGATCTGCAATTTAAAAATTGAGCAGAGAATAGTTATTAGGATTTTTCAGTAAAAAATGGTAATTCCAGCAACAAAGAATGCCTCTACCTATTTTCTTGACCAAGAAACTACATGTGCCATAAACTGTTTATAATTTACTGAATGCTACTTTGATCCCTGTTTTTTATTCAGATGCTGCTTTGATACTGAATTTTTTCTTGCATTATGCTATTTCTCCAAATTATTTTTCTTCATCCTCAGCCTTTCCTCCTCTTCGCAGTCTCCATCTTCACCTTCATTGGCAAAGCTCATTCACATTAATCTTTTTGCAAGTGTACTTAGCTCTTTCCGAATGCACCTAAATCTTATTCAATGACGTTTGACTTTTAACTTTTATGTTTCTGGATTCGTGATTTCCTTGTCCTTTGCAAATCCATAGAAACCATATTTGATCTTCCATATCTGCCAAAAGAAGTGGGGTTTCTGAAGTTCTAGTTCATTGCTGGGCAGCAAAAGTTCCTTGTTGGAGACTTTTTGAGGTTACTTGTGAATTGTCCTTGATGGTGATCACTAATCGTTTGTGAAATAAAGTTGCTAGTAAGGAAGAAATATTTTAACTATGAGATATTTAAGTTGTTTGTTTCTGATACTCTCATTACTGGCTCTCAGAACCATGTAACAAGAAACCGTTAAACCAGCTGCATTGTCATTTCCTTTTTTTTTTTTAATTTTAATTTTGTAGATATGCCATCAGAACACACTGTGTCTTCGATGTTCTTTCTTGCTCTCTGTGCAGGTGTCAAAAACCATCCTACTACCTGGCTTTTGGGAGCAGTGTGAATTCCTTTGACAAATCTCTTATAATATGGCTCAAAACACTCTCTCCTAATTTATGAGTATTTGGAGTTATGTATGTCTCCATCAGTCTATACCATATAGAGAGGGAGAAATGTTTATCTCTTAAACCTGGATTTAGAAGTAGCTTCTCTGCTTCCATGAGAATGAGGGTATAGACTGAACTTAGGCATTTTGTTGTCTGATTTTAAAATGTGATATTATAAATTTTTTTTTTCATTGATGGTGAACATCCTTAGACTGTTCTGCTGTACTGTGAACTTGAACTCTGTATAAGGCTACCAAAGTTGAGGGTGTTCTGTAAAACCATCAAATATTGCTGGTCTATTTTGTGTAAATTTTGGATTTTGTGTAAATTATCGATGTAGTAGCACACATCCTCCCTAAAAAAAGGGGTTGAGAGAAAAGGGAATTTCAATACCTGTCTTGGCAGTAAGTGAAATTTCACTTCTTAAGCAATTGGGCAGCAGCAGCATATCTTTCTTGAATATAATTTTAGAAGTGTATGTTACTATTGTTTGTTGCTTTTGTCAGCATCAGAACAAGATTTTAAAAGATGGGGAAGTATAAAAAAGGGCCACGTTGTTTAGGCACTAAAAACAGTAGAGATACACTCTAGTTACCTGGTTTAATTGCTCAGAAAACTGTAGCAACTCATTAAAGAAAGGCAATTCCCACTGCATGGAAATCTTTACAGATTAAAAGATGTTTGAGTTGGAAAACCTCTTCTGATAGTGTCAACTTGCAGAAGTATTTGCTACTTTGGATTTTCAAGACCTTGCTTAAGGAGCATTTAAATTTATACCCACTTTTTAAACCTTCAAGTGATTATTTGCATTGTAGGTGTTTGTATGGTAATTTAGCAAAACTGTGAATTCCTGTATTTCAGCAGATTGTTCTTCACATTCCTTGAATGTGTGGTACAGTGGAATGTAACAGATTAAAGTCATTATTAGTCCTTTTTTATTTTTTTTTTTTAATACAAGCATACTGTGTGTTGAATTGTATTTCAGCTGTCTGCACTCTCTATTGACTGCCAGTCTTTGGTCCAGGCCCTTCAGGAATTGCCTCTACATGTGAGACTGAATGTAGCTGCTGAACTTGTGCAGGTAATGCTGTGTATTTTCACAAGAATATGCAAGTATTTTAAGTGAAACCGTATATGCAAGAATGATTACTTTAAACTTGGTCTTCAGACATAAGTAGTATGTATTTTATAAGTAAATACAGTTCTTGAGACTGGCACGTCAAATAGCATATGATGCAGGGTACCCATCTATCAGCACGCGTTACGCGAAGTTGGCTTTAAACAAAATGCTTTGGCGTGCAGCACATTAGATTTGAAGCCAGGTGCCAGGGTTGTTTGACATGGAATGACTGCACTGCTTTTGTACTTGCTTCTCTTAGCACATGTTCAAAGTTTGCACCACAAATTTGAAAGCGCTTTTACATTCTTTCCTGTTTAATATTTTGTCATTTACTCTTCTACATAGTTAACATCAACGTATGTGTTTATTCCATGATTCAAACTTACATCTGTGTTAATGACATTTTTTAAACCTGTTCAACTGACAGTTCTACATATTCTAGTCATTTACGCTCTGGTGAAAGAAAAAAAAACCCAAATCACAACAGAATATTAGAAAAAAATGTTTCTTCAGGCTGTGAAAAAATAAAATATTCATGTGAGGGCAAAAGAACCCATGAGACCTAAGCACAAAACAAATTCTCTAAAAATGTGATCTTCTCAGGCAAGAAAAACAGAAACATGACTCCTACAGAAGAAATTTTACTTCTGTTTGGAGTTGCTTCTGTGACTGACCCATCTGTGCTCTTTCTTAAGAGAGCCCATATATGTCTCAGATGTGATGTCTAAGGGAACCAGCAAATAAATGTTACTTTCAAATACAATTTTCTTCTGAAGAGTTCTAGTCACAGTCGTTTTAACTTTTATCAGGGTTGCAAAGTGTGTGTTATGACATTTACTATTTGTCTTGTCGTTCTGAGCGGTGATGTGGTCATCAGATACACGGCAGTGTTACTAGTGCCAGGGCATCCCCATAAAAGCAGAATCGGTGTTCCAGGGTTAAATGATGAGTTGCCATTTCTTGTTTCACTATTTGATAATGTTTTGTAATTTGATGTCATTTTTCAAAATGTACAGCTATATGCTCTTAACTTTTGCTAAATGATTTTCAGCAACCTTTAGTATGGTTTACTTTCAAGACTGGAATTTTGCCTAACATGGGATAATGTTTCTAGCCAAATTCTGACTTTGGTCATTCCAAAATTCAGGGTATTGATGAGATTTTGTTACAGAAGAATTAAAGAAAAGTAACGCTCCAGGAAGCACTTGTGAAACAATGGAACTTGCTGATTAGCATAAACTCTCCTATTCCATAAGCAATGAAAGGAGTTTGTAGTTCCTTCTGTAAAAGTATCATCAAGATTGCTTTAGTTTACTTTCTCTTTTGAATTCAATTCTGCTGAAATTCATTGCGCCTTCTTAAGTGATCAAATGTAGGAAGCATGTATTACCGTCCAGGTTAGACAGAACAGTAAAAATGGAGTTAAACATTACAAAGACTCAAGTCCTTTCTTGTTCTTTTAGGCATCGACACCTGCAGAGCTCCCACAGATGAAATCTAAAATTATTGAAGACAGCAAGAGGAGAGAGCTGCTAAAAAAAATCAAAGCGAAGCGGTGCCAGTCTCCCACCCTGTCGGTGAGTCTCTTGCCCCATCAGATCCTGGAAGTAAAACCGGTGCTCGGGCAAATGCAGTGGAACCGTTTCAGCGAGCTCAGCCACGATCAAAGCAAGAAAGTGACCATTTGGATGAAGAACTGGATCTTCTCCTAAGCCTGGATGCTCCCGTTGGTACAGAAAGCAGACCTGCCTCAGGTGCATTATCCTACAGCGCATCAACTGAGAAACATCCGAAAACGGATTGTCAGGAAGACGGTAAGATTTCTCTTCTCCCCAGCATGCCCTTAGT